GAAGGTGAGGCCTTGGGAGCCAAAAAATCATGGCTTTATTTGTGTACATGTACACACATTCACAAACTGCTTGCTAAAGGCTAGTCAAAGAGCTCAGTCAAAACACTCAAAATTCTCATTAAAAATTAAACTAGGACCATAATTATTTTCCAAGTTTCTTTATGTAAATCTCCAAAGTTTTTCATCAATAAAATCTTGCAGGGTTTTCCCTGTATCTAGAAACTATTTTTTTTATTTAACCTTTTATATCACCATTATCTTTTTATCACGTTACATCAGACTATATCAGAGAAAATTCAGTTTCCCCTCAGCTCCACACAGGAGCATCACTACATCTTTCTTACACACAAATGTGCATGAAAGCGGTGTTCATGAATTTCGAATTTTCACCTAATTTAAAGCCATCTGCAGTGTTTAATAAAACCTACAGTTCTCTTTCCATTAGATTCCAGACTTCTGTCTTGACTGAACAAAATTCAGTTGAACACTTTATCCATCCCTTTTAAGTTTTATCTCTTCCACAACCACACTGCACAAAGCCATTACAAAGCTACCTCCCAAGGACTTCAACGGAAAAGTATAGGCTGCAATGTGGTGCAAAATTTAGCCTAAATTTAAATGCTAATATGGTAATTTCATCAAGAGCTATTGAGACTGATTTTGTTAATAACAAAAGAGTTATCAGTTCTTTTCAAACACCAAGTACAGGAAATCTCTATACATCTGCTTTTCCACTTTCTCTCTCATCCTCCTGACTCGCTTGAGTTTAGCTCATTGAATGTAAGGAAACTGGTTAAGTCTCATGCTCCATGCTTCAGAACTGTACTGTACTTGAAAAAGCTGAGACAATACCAAACCATGTGTGTCTTTTAAAATAGATCTTAAAAGCATTATTAAATAACTCAAGGTAGATCTCAATTATTCAGGTTAATAACTCTACTGGTAACATAACCATGCAACTGAAAATTCTTGTCTCAAAGGACAATTCATTCTTGAAATACAAGACTCAGCTCCTCCAGTGACAGCCTTAAAATTAGATTAGTGGTTCTAAGTCACTCTGAAGATGAAAAGCATGACGTTAGGTGATAAACATACTTAGATCAAATGACTCACCAACATATTTACAAACAGAACTCAATCCCACTCTAGCTATAGCTTTTAATATACCTCACATAGGAGCATTTCCACCTCAAAATGCAAGTGTTGAATGCTGTCTTATTAATAACTATAAAACATTTAAATAGTACCAAAAATTCACACAACATTTTACCGAACACAGACAAGATACATTGATCCCACTAGTTTCAGGCAATGACTTCCCTTTGCAGGATCAGGAAATGAGTTACGTTACTCTCACACATCTGTAGGATCAGGCCCTCCATATTATACTTATTAAAAAAAACTGTTTACAATTCTTGACACATGCACAGCTCACCAAGGGCCTCATTCTTCTCATTCCTATTCACTATCAGTATTAAGAGAAACAGGCACGTTTAGTGACTTCTCAAAATGCAACTGCCATCAATGGTACCAGAAAAGAACAGCTAGAATACTAGAACCGAGAGGAACCTCGAGGTCATCAAATCCAGTCCCCTACCCGCAGCTGTGCAGCATATAACAATATGGATATTTCAGATGGCCAATGAAACCATAGGAGTTCAAGGAATTGATGACACCATTAATTTACTTGATGCACATGACCTTATAGTGTCTAAAATACCATACAGACACCTTTCCCTTTCATAGCATTAGTTTGAAGAAATCAAAGAGCAGCTGTAGGCAAGAAAGGAGGATGGTGAGGGAGGGGGGAATCACGATAAAATTAAAGTTCTTCCAAGCAGTCTGTGGTGTGATTAAATCTCAAAGAGACTCAGCAGTCAGGCTACTTTACTGTTAGTCAGTTACCAATTTGGCATAAAGAACTAAGCAAAGAGGTTTTCTCCAAAGGCACTTGCATAGTTCATGATGCCAATTCCACTAACTGGCCCAATTTTACTAAAATCCCAAGACACCTTAATAAAGAAAATCTTCCTACAAAACCCTATAAAGCAGCAGGGCATTCCATTTAAGAGGGTGGAGATTTTCTTTTAGAACACAATTATGAAGAAAAAAATGAAAACAATATTTATTTGTATTGGTTTGCTTTTTACTTGAACACTTAAAGAAGCCAGTTCTGCACTAACGCACTAGATATTCCTCATTTTGAATCCTTTGAAAAATATTGGGCCTTTGCTCATCTGTTAGCCACTGTATAATATCCTCTGTATTTTTCAAACGATACTTTGCACATCTCACTTTTAACTTCTGCCTAAAAATGGGCTTTGATTTTTTTTTAAAGAAAGATCTGATAAAAAGTAGCCTTTTGGTAGCTAATACTACCACATGCTACTATGCTGCAAAGTAAATAGTTTATGACAGCACAAAAATTAGTCTGGTCTTCTTGAAAACCACTCTGAAAGGCTGCCCTGATCCATTTTTATAGGATGGCTGACAAATAGGACCAGATGTGAAAGTTTCGTGGCCTTCTACAAAGCACGTCAGCACAAAGTAATGAGACAGAAACTTTTTGAAGTAGAACTCTTGAAAGAGGAAATCTTTTTCTACTATGGTTACTTTTTTGCTGTTTTTAAGTGACACAAATTTTTAAACAACAGCTATCCATATATGCCTAATATCTTAGATTATTAAAACTGAAAAAAGATTAAAATGTAAAATTTAGTCATTCATGCTGGTTACAAATAGTTACCATTTAGTTCAGCTAATCAATTTTATATGTTGGCTGATGAGTAATAATATGATGTTTTACTGTTGCAAACAGGACTACTCATTGTTTTTAAAGTTACAGACTAACACAGTTATCCACCCCTCTCAGACTTTAGAGGATGTTTAAGTCCACCCCCAAAAGACTGCTTTTATTGGATTGTTTTTATTGACATTTATGACAACAATCCTAAATGCCACGTCCCAAAACATCTGACAGTATCCATGTAATAAACTGGCAATGAATGCCTGAAACATTGCACCCTGTTAACGTTCCCCATGCTAACTGGCATTTGCTAAGTGGGTTCTGGTGATTCAGTGAAGCAGGTGACACATTGTTCAATCTATATGGACAGGAGGGCAACAGGGCTCCCTGGAGAGAGAGGATCAAGGGCGTGGACTGAACAGTCTGTGAGTACAAACCCAAGAGGGGAGCCCAAGGTAACTTTATGCAGTATTAGCCTTAAATTTCCATGTTAACAATACCAAATCTCAAGTCAGAGATGAGTGTGAGCTACTGTATACATACAGTATGAGAGGTCCTCAAGAATAGGCTGATAACACCTCTTAATAATTCCTCAAAGGAACAGGATGAATTTGAAAAAAAAAATCTTCACCCTAGGTTAGCTTACTAAACTACCAGAAGTGACAGAATTGTTAAGATTCCATTTTTCACTATCTTATTTGTCTACTTTCTACGTATCTTGAGAAAAATCAATTTTTCAATCAGTTCCACTTCCAGGTTCTCAGTGCTGCATTGTTTGTGTTTCAAACACTGCAGGAAATGTTCATTTGTTTATAAACAACTATACTGACTGGAATTGAAAATCCAAGCAAACATTTCTTTTGCTCTTACATTTTCATGCTATCAAACCTTCAACATTTTGGTTCAGCGTACACAGAAGCAAACCATTAATCAAGTCTAATGAATACTTTTTTCAATTTTCAGCTTTTGAACTATATTTTAATACGTAAAGAATTATAAATTAAGTCTGTGATAGAGGAAAATGTCATTTAGGGCTACTGCACAGTGTAGTAGTTGAAATGCATCACAGTGAGCACCCATGCTGATCTTACATGGAATGAGACAAGAAAATCTTGGCTAGTACTTACCTGAGCACATCTGCCCAGCTCAGTCCTTCCCAGGTACTGAAAAATGTTTAATGCCAATTCATAAGGTAGCTGGATATCAAAGAAAGGAACCTCATTTATCTCATTCTGAGAAGAAAAAGGAAAATAAATTAAGTCTTTTTGTAATGCAGGAATAAATTGCACATTGTAAGTAGCAAGGCAGTAATAGTCTCATAGTAAAATCAAGAAGAGATCATAAGAACTCTTGGTGATCTAGCTAAAATCAGGCAGACATTCTATGCTCTTCCACCCTACAACTCTACTATACCAGAATGCCAGGCTGTCACTCCTACATGAAGGTGCAGAGCTATTCTCATCCTAACAGTCAGATCAGGCAAGTCACATTAGTTCCATTTGGGAACCTCTCTCCCAGACTAGAGAGACCTAAGGCCTATCTAGATGATTCATGAGGAGTTTCTAATCACAAAAAAGGATTATAAACATGGAGAAAACACAAATTTTAGCTTTCCCGAGCAACACTTCTTTTTTGTACTCAGATGGTTATACTGGTTGCAAAGAGAAGGCCAATGAGAAACATTTTCCTTGTCAATTGTTAATGCTCAGAAATTAGAGTTTTTCAAGTCTTTTATCTGATTATACAGGCTGCACTTCCCTTGTCCAGCACCCTCAGGACCTGACCAGTCCTGAACAAGGGAGGGAGGTTTACCAGACCTCTGCGCCGGGGGATGCCAGTTGGGTTCCGCTCCCTACCTCCGGAGCTGCTGGCAGCCGACCCCTAGGACACTAGACTGCATCAACAGCTGCAAGAGGTTCTCTGGTGCAGAGGCTCTCTGCTCCAGCAAATCCATGGTCCTACTGGACTACAGATGTTGCCAGACCAGAGTCTCCCAGGCCAGAAAGGTTCAACCTATAGTTGAATAAGCCATGAAGTAACACGGCCATGAAGATATACAAGATTCATGCACACTCATTTTAACATCAAAATCTAAAACAAAAACCAGAAGGATCTTGAAGACAAGTTTCTAACAAAAAAAAAATTCAAAATTTCAGTCATAAGCGTAAAATGAATGCACTTGAAAAGAATATACCATCAACAATTTCATTCACTGAGGTTTTAACTACAGTGTGTAAAAATGTAGCGTTCTAATATCTTGATTCACTTAATAGATCAAAATGAAATTATACTCTATGGCAGAGATTTTTCAATCTATTTCTTTCTGAACCCACCCTCTCTCCTCCCATTATGCTATAAAAACTCCATGGCACACTTGCGTTATAACTGTTTTTCTGCATATAAAAGATTGGGCAGCCATCAGGGAGTAGTAAACAGTATTCCCTCTAATTTTTCCCACCCCGGAACAGAATGGATTTTCTTATGTGCACCAATGTGGTTTGTTGTGTGACATATCACTTGCATATTGGCACACATAATAAAATTAATGTGGCAAGAGATTCTGGGCATGAGAGGGGGCTCAGGCTTAGGAAAGAAGGCTGAGTATAGGGGCATGAGGGCTCAGGCTAAGGGAGCAGGTTCTAGGGTGGGTCTAGAGTTGAGGGGCTTAGGGCTAGGACAGAGGTTTGGGGTACAAGCGCTCTGGCTGAAGGTGAGGGCTCTGGGGCAAGGTTTGGGATGAGGGGTTTGGAATGCAGAAAGGAAACTCCAGGTTTGGGGAGAGGATCAGGGCAAGACACAGAGATGCAGGAAGGGTACTGGCTCGGGGCTGAGGTACAGGAGGGGAGTACAGGTTCCAGGCTGGGGGAGGGGAGTGGGCTTTGGGTACTCAGGGCTGGAGGAAATAAGGTGGGGCAAAGATCTGGAGCTCAGACTAATCTTGAGGAGTGGCCTCTTTCTCTTAGCCAGAAAAATTTGGTATTGCAGCCAGCACGGAAGAGCTGCAGCCCTGAGCCCCTGCTTGGCCATGCAGCTTAGGGGGAAACTTAGGTTACTGAATTATGAAGGGGTAATTTTACAATGTAATGTTGCACTGAGATCTGCAGCTAAAGCAAGATTAAATTCCCTAATATCCAATCACAACTCTCAGCTTCAGTCTTCATGCTTAACTTACAAGCAGGTCATAACTGAAATTTTCAGACACTTTTCATATCATAATAATGGCAATCTTGGCAAATCTGTAATATTCAAGAAAATCTACTATTTCTAAAATTTTGCTCTTCAATTTTTTTTGTTTCTATAATACTTACATACCAAACATCAAGAGTCTCATACATCTTTGTTACATCTCTCACATAAAATAATTATTGAAATTTAACTAACAAAATGAATCCCATTTATTCATTATCTCTGCCAAAGTCAAGCATATTCTGATTCTTCAGCTTTGTCTGCTCTCCAATACTGCTGCTGCAGTGCACAGCTTGCCTTACCTACCACCTCTACTTGATCACTCCCATCATTGCCAATACCTCATTTAAGTTTATGCCCTCTGCAGCCCGATAAAGGAAATGCAGAACAAAAAAAAAATAGTAAAATGGGCAACGTTGAGCTTACTTCAGACAAATGCTTCCTACTTTCCAGCCCAATAAAACCAAATTTCAGTACAGACAAAAAATGTCTAGGTCTAAAGCAGTGTTCCCTGTAAGCTGTGCACTTGGACAGCCATTCAGGAGAGATTCAAATGCCGTCCACTGATTAGCAGAGCACTCTCAGCCAGTAGCATGTGTTTCTACTGATGGTGCACATCTGCATCTGCTTTGGGGCACATAAAACTTATTCCATACCTGGATAAAAAAATAGAGAGAACTTTGATATTATGTGCATATTTATGGTCACACTGTAGCATCAGAGTCAAAGCACAGATAGTGACTTAATTACTGGAAAACAAAAAAAAATTCCATTTCCAGTGACAAATAGCAGAACTTGCTAACTCCTAATATCGGATGCCAAGCAGAATGCATGTTCAATGGTACAAACGGTCAAAATCCCCAATTAATTTGTCAGTAGGAGAGTGCTCAGCATAGCACATGAAGCAAAACCGATAAAGGAACAATATTATATTAAATCAGCACTGGTCTGTCTAAAAGTCTATTGGAATGAATCCAAAACTCTAATACTATCATCCCCTCTGAGAGGGATTTGCACTCTTGTGTGCTAATGGAGCACTAATTCTGTAAACAGATTAATGTGTGTCTAGCTGTCAGAAGTATAATTTGCTTTTTTATTTTTATTTTTTTTAAGGAAAGAATAATTAGTCATAGCTAAGTTAGTAAGCAGCAAAGGCTTTCCCCCGATTTCTCTCAGACTGTAAAATAAAATCTCTAATGCAGTGAGAGAACACAAGAAGAACGTACCTAAATAGCTTTTAACTTGTTCAGAATAGTAATTAGCACTACTTTCAAATTAACTGCTTCATTTATACAATTAATATTGGTTTCTTTGGTGAAAGGAATGCTAATCCACTGAGATACAATTTAACAAAATATTCGTCTAGGCAAACTAATTAAGTAGCCACTATCTTGAGATAAAAGATTAGATTTTATTTAACAGAAAAAAGTTCATCTGCAACCTCTTCATAACACTGAAGAGCAAACACTTTGGTGTCAAAGAAAAACTGTTATAAAAAGACCATGTATTTAGAAACCAAGGTAAAATAGGCTTAGAGTAATTAAAAACTCAATAGTTACAATCTAAAGTATTTACATATAAACCTTCCTAATCCCATAACAGAGAAATTGTTCAAGTATAAAGGAGTGTAAATAATGGTAACTCCTGTTGAAGGCAGCCATGTATAGTTTTGGTTTAAAAGCAGTCCCTGTCATTAGTCAAGTGCTTCTATGATTCCTGGAGTACATAAACCTTCAGAAAGAGGTTGTTGTGGTGTTGTTTTTTTTTAAAGAACACATAATTCCCATGTGACTCGAATCTTGATCTAGGGTATTAAGTCAGTTTTGAGTAAAAAAAAAAAATCTTTCACCTTTTTGGGTGAAGGTTCAAAAGAGAGTTTTTCTTGTTATCATTCTTCCTTTTCCTCATCAACTATAGAAGCAACATCATGACCATGGGGGTTATTTCAGGACCTACTTAAAAAATTTAGGCCTTGATTTTACAAACGTACTCATGCAGGGTTCCAATAAAGTCAATGGAATATTAACAAAGATATAAAGGGCCACTGGTATCATGCACAGCTCCAACTAAATGACAGTGACTGGAGGTGACATTTTTGTTTAAGTGCATCCTATCACATATTCTTACCAGTTTCATGAAGCTGAACATATTTTAACATTTAAGATTAAAAACTGAAAATAAACTTGCTCAGACTTTTGATAACAAAACTGCCAACATGCAACACCAGACTCAGCAGATCCAGTCTGTAGTCCTATTTAACTACAGATTTCTCAACTGACAAACTATCCTTCACACAAACTAATCCAAAACCATGAAGGAGAAAAACAGAAGTGTACAATTCTACTTCTGTGAATTACTTATTTCTGAAGGCGGCAGCAGGTCCAGAACGGAGTTACTTTGTGTGCTAGAGGCAAACTTAAAATACATAGCAGGCCTTTTATGAAGTCACAAGGTGCCTCAAAAAACTACAAGCTACTTTTGAATTGGTGTTATCCCATGAAATGTTACAAGAGCTTCTCACACCGAAAGAAAGAGAAAACCCTCTTATCGTCTACCCAGGAGCAGCCTGGCCCACATTATGCCACGAGAGCTGCGCTTTGTGGTTGGCACAGGAAGCAGAAGAAATGCGAAGGAAGGAGCCGGGACTGCTCCAGCAAAAGCCAGCGCAGAATGTGCAAGAGGCCCCTGGCACCGCACTCTGCACACAACCCCGGGACAGGACAAAGT